TGCACATGGTTGAGAATCATACTAGTGGGATATCATAAAGTTCTAGGGAAATTGGGATACCTTATTGTGACTCTATTCCGGCAAACTAGTGTCTTCAATTACAACCAAGATATTAATGTCAAATGTATGACAGTTTGAACATCAGAATAGAGACAGTGTTGGTAATATCTTGTTCCAGATGGAAATTCATTGCAATAAGAAATAGACATTTACCAATGCCACTTGTTACTAAAAAGAAATGTAACTGGTATTCATTCTAGTTCTACATGAATGTTTCAGGCAGATATTTTTAATTGGCAAAGATTGTTATACTTTGTGATTTTTTTTACTTGAGTTCCTTCAGTCTTATCAATTGCATTTAAATTTAATGATAGACTAGGTAAATGCAGTTCAAAGTTAGCCCAAAAAGGGCATAGGTTTACTCGTTGGGCAAGTTGGAATTCTGCACTTGGCAGAACAGAATCAATATGCTTGACATTTGTTCTGCATTGATATTTCGAAATTCTTTATTATGATGATGCACTTGCACCTTTTTTTTAATCCGTGTTCAATAGTGTAGTGAATTATAAAAAAAACAAAAAAAAAGGCAATTTTTCCAACTTTGGATCTGTGAAAAATGAATATAAATGAAATATCTGTGATAAAACCTTCCAGGTTCATCTGCTGCTGAATGGGCACAGGGAGAGGATTTTCCAAATTGGTCTGACCAGCAGCTACTTGACCAAGATGGCGTTGAAGATGGCACAAGATGGTCGTCGCAGCCATATTCTTCTACTGCTCGCCTTGCAGAATCAAAGCATCTATACCGAACTTCTTCATACCCTGAGCAGCAGCAGCAGCACCACCACCACCACCAACACTACTCTAGTGAACCTATTCTTGTGCCAAAATCTTCTTACACTTCAAATCCTCCCCTGGGCGGCCAATCTCCACAGTCCTCACCGAACTGCAGTCATCTAAATATTCAATATCTTGCTGGTGGCCACCAAATAGCATTACCCCCCTTCTCTAATTCCCATCTTCCATTGAGCAGCTTACATCATGGATCACCACATTACGGTGGGAATTTGCCTCAATTCAGTTCTGGTCTTCCTGCTAATAGCCGGCCACCTAGCCAATGGGTCAACCATGCAGGCTTATATCCTGGAGATCATCCCAACCGCTTGACCAATATGTTGCAACCGCCATTATCTCATCAGAATGGGATCATGCCTCCACAGTTGATCCCACAACTTCAGCCACAACAGCATAGGTTGCACCCCCCAGTTCATTCATCATCGGGCCATTTATTGGGCATGCAATCTCAAGTGTTCAATCCTCATCTCTCTTTATCCCCTCCAATGACGAACAACTTTGACACAATGCTTGGTCTGACCAATAGAGATCAAAGACCAAAATCAGTTCAGAAAGTTAGATCAATGGTGCCTTATCCTCAGCAAGGCTTTGATGTCAATGGTCAGAAGTTTGATATTGGCTTGCCTCAGTTCAGATCCAAGTATATGACTACTGATGAAATTGAAACTATTCTCAGAATGCAGCTAGCTGCAACACAGAGTAATGACCCATACGTGGATGATTATTATCACCAGGCTTGCCTTTCAAAAAAAACAGCTGGGGCAAAGCTCAGACATCATTTCTGCCCAATTCACTTGAGGGATCTTCCTCCCCGAGCACGAGCTAATGCTGAGCCGCATGCTTTTCTCCAGGTCGATGCTCTTGGGAGAATTCCGTTCTCTTCGATTCGCAGGCCTCGTCCTCTTCTTGAAGTTGAACCTCCAAATTCTACTGGTGGTGGTAATACTGAGCAGAATGCTGCTGAGAAGCCCCTAGAACAGGAGCCAATGCTTGCAGCTAGAGTCACAATTGAAGATGGTCTTTGCCTTCTTCTTGATGTAGATGATATTGATCGTTTTCTAGAATTCAATCAGTTCCATGAGGTTGGAACCCAGTTGAGACGCAGGAGGCAGGCCTTGTTGGAAGGGCTGGCAGCTTCCATGCAATTGGTTGACCCTCTCGGCAAGAATGGCCACACAGTTGGACTTGCTCCCAAGGATGATTTTGTGTTCTTGCGTTTAGTATCTCTTCCCAAGGGACGGAAGCTCCTTGCAAGGTACCTTCAACTTATTTTTCTGGGTGGCAATCTCATGCGGATTGTCTGCATGGCCATTTTTCGTCATTTAAGGTTTTTGTTTGGAGGTCTCCTGTTTGATAATGGAGTTGCAGAAACCACAAATGAACTTGCAAGGGCTGTATCATCATGTGTTCGTCGCATGGATCTTTGTTCCCTCAGTGCCTGTCTTGCTGCAGTGGTTTGCTCCTCAGAGCAGCCGCCCCTTCGCCCCCTTGGAAGCTCAGCTGGAAATGGGGCTTCCCTCATATTATTGTCTGTGTTGGAGAGAGCAACTGAACTGTTAAATGATCTTCATGATTCTAGCGACTACAATGTGACTAATGGGGCACTTTGGAAGGCCTCATTTGATGAGTTTTTTAGCCTGCTTATTAAATATTGCATAAATAAATACGATGGTATTATGCAGTCTTCTCTGTCAGATTCAGATCCAGCTGAATCTATTAAGAGGGAACTACCTATGGAGCTCTTGCGTGCAATTGTTCCCCTCACTAATGACTACCAGAAAAAGCTGTTATATGATCTTTCCCAGCGTTCCTTAGTTGGTCAGGATGATGGTAATGGTGGTGACATCAATTCTGAAGTGGTACCAAGTTAATATGAAACTACATGAAAGTCTGATACCAGGTCACTGAGAAACACAGTTCTGTACAAGTGAATATAGCTCAGAGATATTGTTGGACCAGCAATTTCTTAAGGATGCATTTAATTTGTTCTCCCACCACAGCTAATTCAGAATACACGAACTAAATGAAGCAGAGGCTTTGGGATCAATCTGTCATGAGAGTCAGCTTAGCTTTTTGGATTTAGTTTTATTTTTTTGTCATTTCTACTCAATTCCATGCTACTGCCTTGACAAAGCTTGTACATGGCCTCTCCAGTGTTGTGGTAGAATTCTGTTGGGTTTTTGTCATTTTTCCAGTCCTTTTAGTTCCTTTTTGTCTCAAGAGCCTATTTTGATGCTCTTTTTCTGGATATGGAGATGTAGTGGGGTAGTTTGTACAGGGTTTGCAAAGAGGTTTCCCACTTTCCTGTACTATTTGTTATCAAGGAGGTGGGGTGGATGTGATTTTCATGTTCTGGTAGGGGCTATATGACATCCTTGTGTAGTAAATGGCAATAAAGCCAAGCAGATGCTGATGGTTGTTGAATAAGGCGGCGATGGCCGCGATGGAGTTTGAGTTTTTCAAGTAATTCGAATAAGGCGGCGCGCGATGGAGTTTGAGTTTTTCAAGTAATTACCAAGTTTGCCTGTAACAATGGATGGTTGCCCGTCAGTTGTTTCCCTCGTAACAATCGTTTAAATTGCATTAATGCTATACAGTATGTGTTTCTTCTATTCCCTTACAATTATTCTACTGTGCTATGTTTGATATTTATGGAGATGATTTTTTTTTTCCTCTTTCTTTGAGCCGTTGCTGATCTATGTTTTCTGTCAATCGTTGCTGACCAACGTATGTGTTTGAACATTATTGTATTAGGTGATGATGAATCTTTTGGTCTCAGGACGTGTACAGTGTGGTTATTTTTCACTGCTCTGGTTTTGGAAAAGAATAGATGGAGAAACCTTTGGATGATTTGGATTCTATGTAACAGCTTGTGCTGGTAACTGTGGATTAGTTTGCAATAGCTTTGAATAGAGAAGAGAGTGAAAAGTGCAGGTGTCTTTGTAACTTATGGCATTCTATTCGCTTGGACCTTAGATTTTGTTATTGAACTTGAAGAAAACAGTATAAATTTGCGATGAGCAATGCTCCCTTGAACTAGATGCAGCCATGTTTCCAGGAACAAGTTCGAGTTAGGTAATTCATGCAATGGCGTGGGCGTCTGCGTGTTACTGGTTCCACTCTACCTAAGAACCTACCATGTGCATATTAAATCCTCCCAAGGGTGGGGGCAGTCTTTCCACCACTTGAAAATGAAAAGGGTTTTGAATTGGACTCGCTCATACTTGGATTAATTAGCACCAAATTATTTCTGCTGTTACAGACAGATGATCATCTAAATCTTATAGGGTAAAATTATGGACTAAAATGCTTGTCGTAAAAAACTTCATGTCTTCAACATTCATGTAACGTTTGATTACTATTTCAAAATAGAAAAGGATAGACGAGACAATGAGGATTGAAAATAAAATGCTTGTCGTAAAAAACTTCATGTGTCTTCAACATTCATGTAACTTTTGATTACTATTTCAAAATAGAATAGGATAGACGAGACAATGAGGATTGAAAAGATAAGTCTCACGTCCTTCAAGGTTACTATTTCCAAATAGAAGAGCTGAGAGACGATGAGGATTGAAAAGATATGTCTCATGTCCTTCAAATTCACTCCAAAACTGTAGAAGAAATAGATTTATTTTATGTTTTCTATGCTGAATTCGTCTTGTCAAAGAAGTGGAATTCCAAGAAAACGGGGACATTCAATTATTTTGCAATGAAAAATTGTGTTGGTGTAGCGCTGAAGGAGAAGTCTATGCAAGGCTGGATACTACTCGTTCTTCATTCAAATTCCACTCAAACATATTGCTTTCAAATAAGGTAAGGCTTAAAGCATGATTTGTCATAATTGCTTCATGCAAAATCCCTCTATGTTTTTTTTTCTCGTCAAATCTTTCTATCAGTGAAGCTAGTTTTTTCTTTTGTGAGCAATTTACCTTTAAATTTATTCCTTCTTTAAAACACTACTTTACCTTATGCCATTATAACAGGTTCGAGAATAATATAAAGCTTTTTTCGGATGTCACTCAATAATCTAAGTTTTTGGATTAGGATGTTTTCTTATATGATATCAAAATTTTAATGGCCCGGCGATTGATAGTGTTCAAATCTGAATTATGATGCTGGGAAGAGAGGCGAATGTAATTGGGTTAAGGTTTGGTGTTGTGACGATAACCATTTAACTACTTGCTTGCTTATGTTAATATTTCCCTTCTGGACTGCAGAAGAACATTACATTACAAGAATTAAATATGACAACAACTAAAAGGATTGCCTAAAAAAATGGACAGAGGAAGAAGTGGGGAATCTCATCTCAAATTCCCCGAAGACCCTTCTTCCAACACTAAGAGACAGCTAACTCTTACGGATGAAGTAGCACAGTGAACACATAATGAGAACAAAACAGGATCTGCATGAAACTACACCTTCTTAACTGACTGTCCACCAGTGATCAAATTGAAGACATTTCTTCCGTATCCAGACTGCAGAATGCTAAGATGTGGCTTCAGGCGCGACAAAAGTTTGTGGTAGAGTGGACTGCCTGATTTCTTGGTGACTTTCAGTGCTTTCTGGATCACATAATTACCAAATTCATCTTTAGCAACACGCAATAGAGTGTTGGTGTTGCTTAGAAAATTTTCAATTATCCTACTCTTCCACTCTGTATCCAAGCATTTTTCGACTATATGACTGCCTCCTTTCTGCAAGGATATGGTTTCATAATGGCCTATGAGGAGATGACATACGTTTTGGGTGAATAAAGGAATATTGAGTGATATGACCTTCTGAATCACATAGTTCCCTTCCGGATCCTGCGACAGGAATACTGCATTTCTAGATAGCATATTCAGGAGCCGATATCTTTGCAGACCTTGGATGGTGTTAATGACCCTGATTAAGGCTATGGATCCTTCATGGTCTATTGCTAAATCAAGACACCATGTGATGGCTGCTTCATATAATGCCTTGTTATCTTCAGCTCTCAGGTGGTTTAAGCACTCCGATACAACATACGAACCTATCCGATTGGTCATGATCAGAAGAAACGCAGCACACAGATTGTTGGTCACGAACGAAATCAAATGTGATCTCCTGAGTATTCTAATGACCTTCTTTATCAAGTTCGAACCGTGTGCGTGGAATGTCAATGTAATAAAAATGGACATGTCTTTGGTTATCTCATATGTAATCAATCTCAACTGTTGATGATTCAATGAATCAATTAGCTCAGAAAAGACATGCCATCCATGTTGATTAAGCATCAGCTCGATAAAAATGGGGATTCCTCTTGATGACAAGTCCAAAACTTTCTTGCATATCTGACGTGTAATCTCTGGGTCCCTCAAACTCAATAAACCGTGAAGTGTTCTTGAACCCTCTTTGTCTAAACAATAGTTGACAAATCTATCTCCTTGAAGCAGACAAATAAAGTTCCTTACGTTGTTAAGCTTTTCTTGATTCCTCACCACACTGTAATCACTTAGTCCTGTGTTACCAGCACTACTTGCTCCCTTATCGACGACAGAAGTACCACTCGGAGAGTTTAAAATAGGAACATAACTCCTTGCCCCGGACTGCAATCTTGAACCTTGCAAATCCCATCCATCATCGCCCAAACTGTTTGATCCCCAGATAGTTCCAGGAAACAGTGGCGGTGGAACGAGAGTCGAATTCGCAAACCCAGCCTGATACCGTGGTAACCTATTAATCCTGGTTTCTTGAATTCCTTGTAAAGAACCACCATTAGCAGCCAAAAGGCAGTTCCTTGGAGAAAAGCAACGATGGTTTTTTGTGTCAGTTCTCCCTTCTGTCAAGGAAAGATTGGCGACAGAAAGCATAAGGTTTTCGACAGAAGGACCTGAAGACGCAGAAGAAGACATTGAGTTATCAGAAGAACCTGAAGATGTCTCCATCGAAAAAGAGAATACCGAAAAGAATACAATAATTAGATCACAAAGAAACACAAATAAGAATAAACAAGCCTCTCCTGGTTTTATAGAGCGGCATGGTAGAGGAGAGTGCATTATTCCTTGTTGGTTTAGGATTCCTCGTTTGTAAAGAAGAGTACTTCTTTGCGTGTGTGTCAAGGGAAGGGTTTTATTTCTTGTGGAACTATGATTCCGAATTTGGAAAGGATAAGCTGCTAATCTCTAGGATTTGGTTTCTGCTAAACTAGCTGATAAAGCCGTAACAGAAATCAAATCATATACAATCAGTTTAAAGTCTATAAATTAATATTTTTGAGACCTAATTGTGATATTATTTAAATTTCAAAACAGACCCGTACCGGACCAAATAAAAATATTATTTAATCAAGGGTATTAATTTATTAAGCTCATATATATATATATATATGCTCTATTAACTTAACAGACATGTTTGCTTCTTGAGTTTAGATTTTCATATGATAGATAACTAAATATATCTACTAAACATTCCAGATGACCTAATTTTAACAAATCCATATCACGTAGCTCATATTCTGCATAATCTCCTGCATTAGATTTAGGTATTTGTATGAGATCGAAGCACACAACGGCTTGATTTGTCTACGTGAGACTGATTCAAGAGCTTGGCATAAACCTAGTATGTGCATGTTGAATCCTGTCACAGGTGATTGCATTATTCTCCTACCACTTGTATAGAAAATGGGTTGTGAATTATGTTCACTTCGATCCATCTCCAAAAGAAATCAATTTAAGGCTATTTGATTTTACCATGATTTGGGAACTGGAAATCTTGCTAATATTCTTAAAATGGGCTGTGAATAATGTTCACTTCGATCTATCAACAAAAGCTATATCTTTACATGCATTTGTTCGTGGATCTTTTCACTGGCTCAAGTTTAATTTACTTGCTAGTGCTATGGACAGCAAGCGATTAGCAGAAATATTGCCTCCTTTTCATGGTGATATGGGGACAATATACTGGCGTTTTCGAGACTCAAATGATTTCTGATGCTGTGGAGATTGATCATCGGATATCGTGGCAGGCCTTGCATGGTGTTAATGGCCATTATGAAGGCTATGGAACCTTCATGGTCTATTGCTAAATCAAGACGAAATGGCTGCTTCATATCCTAACTTGTTATCCTCAGCACTTGACTGGTTGAAGCACTTTGATACAAGATACGAACCTGTCCGACTGTTCATGATCGGATAAAACACAGCACAGAGATTGTTGGTCACAAAAGAAATCAAATGTGTTCCCCAGGTTGCAATCTTGAACCCTGAAAATTAAACATGAAAATTTTTTATTTGAGATTGGCAAATAAGTTCCCTCCACCAATGTAGTGCGGGTCAGTTATACAGTAGTAGCACCTAAATTCAAAAGACACTATCGTCTATTGCTCTTCCCAGAAATGCTAGAAACTATGACCCTGGTTTCTGGAATTAATGTAAAATGATCAGCAGAAGACCAAGTATCGAAACCTAATTTCATTAAAACTATGTCTTGCAAGAACTCACCAGCAGGCAAACACATCTGCATTCCTCAGTTCCGTTGCATTTGGAGATCTTAAGTTTCAACTTCTGTCTTGTCCTCGAAAATTCAAACCATCCAGGGAAAAGTAAATCAACTTGGAATGTCTCACTACCCTTCTTGAGAAAGCCGGACAGAGGCATCACGAATCATATCAACTAACTCTTCATTCAGTGCTTCAAGATCACCTGTGTGGCATAGTTGACGATAGAAAGGGGCAAGGTAATTTGCAGCAACTTCAGCCAATTTCCAAAGAGACAACTCTGAAGCAATTTTGATTATTTTAATAGACAGCTGTCTGGCTGAATCCAGACAAGATACAATCACTTTGTAGCTGATATCCTGAATATCTTCCAAAAACCAGAATTCAGCTAGCCAGCAAAGCTCCAGATATTGTTGCAGCTGATGTAGCTTTTCCTCATCATCCATATTATCCCATAAACAACCAGATGGAGGTTTAGGCAACTCATCAGTGTAGAACCAGTTCACTAGCTTAATCATTGCCTCCCAACTGACAGGAACCTCTATGGTTTGGGAGCGACTGTATGCATAAATAACATGAGAAATGTCACAAAAAACAGAAAAATAAAAAAAAATCCAAAGCAATGAAATTGGAGAGCAGGAA